TATTAGAGCTTCCAATGTGGGTTAGGGAGGAACTCCCTACAGCCCTACAGCCACTGACATAACCAGTGTGCGCAAGTTCAGCTTCTCTGTGTCCTCAGCCAGTAGCCTCCTTGCATATCATTGTTTGCAGACACTGCCTTTTAGACTGAGAGTGTTTGGAAAAACCTTTTACTGCAGTTTGCTTGTGTTATGTGAGCAACACAACACTGACTGTCCAGAGGAGCCATTGTCCTGGCTCTTGGGAGAACATTTCTAATCCTTAGATTTTTGTGGGGTTGCAGTGTTGAGGAAGGGAAGGAGGGGTCAGTGACAACATGGATCACCCTTGGGAGGTGATGGCCGTGTTCTGGTCAGCTGGCTCACTGGCACTTGATTTTTTTCTTAACAGAAGCTGAAGGACATCAATGACATCCTGAAGTCTGTCTTTCTCATCTTCCCCCACTTCTGCCTGGGCCGGGGACTCATTGACATGGTGAAAAACCAGGCTATGGCTGATGCTTTGGAGAGATTTGGTAAGTGAAACTGTGTATGACAGAGACAATGGCCTGAAAGGAACAGAAATCTATAATCTGCTCCAGACAAGCTCCTCTAACTTTTCAGGAACTAAAAGTGCACAGTATGCAGTACAGACCTGGTCAAACATGGGAAGTCATAATAGTCTTCCAGTCTAAGTTGTTAAGAGAAACTGGTAGATAGATCCAAAGAGTTTTGAGTTAAGAGCATTAAATAAAAATGGAAAAAGACAATTGTATGGAGATCATTAGGTCTAGTGTTAAGGAGTGGCTGAGGTTCTGGAAAGCTGGATTTATTATTTTTCTTTGGCATGCAGATGCCAGGCCTGAGTCATTGTCTATCTGTGCTTTACTAACCTTTTGGAAAGGTGGGCTAGCTCTTTGGCAGACTGAATTTTCCAGGCCTGAGTCCCAGCTTTGCTACAGTAAAAAATGTGCATGCAGCCGTTGCTGGCCCCTTGTGTGGTCTAACCCTTCCCTTCTGCAACTGGCTGATCACCAGTTGCCCCAGTGCCCAACTTGGTGAGCTCTGCTATTTCTGGAAGAAATGCTAGAGTGCTCCTCTTGCTCTGGAAATGTGATTGTACTTTTAATCTCATTTTGGCAGGAGAAAATCGTTTTGTGTCCCCTCTGTCATGGGACCTGGTGGGAAGGAACCTCTTTGCCATGGCAGTAGAAGGCGTTGTGTTTTTCCTCATTACAGTGCTCATCCAGTACAGGTTCTTCATCAAACCCAGGTAGGTTGTCCATTCTACTGTGCTGCTACAGGCAGGTGAAGCTTTCATTGGTATTGCCTGTGGAATGGGGAGAATATTACCTATGAAGGCCCTCTCATTTTCTGATAAGGCTTTATCATGTTGATTTCTTCAGGCCTGTCTATGCCAAGCTGCCTCCTGTGAATGATGAAGATGAGGATGTAACCAGAGAGAGGCAGAGGATAATTAGCGGAGGAGGACAGAGTGATATTTTGGAAATCAAGGAGCTAACCAAGGTGACAGAACTTCTGAATTTGTACTCATTGACACAAAACTATGCAGTTCACTGTGTCTTATCACAGGAATTTAGGGGGGGGTCAAAACTTGATTGAGTTGGAAATACTGAATATTGGAATTCTTTGACTTTGTCCTCATCCTTTTTTCTAATGGTTTCAGATTTACAGAATGAAGAGAAAGCCAGCAGTTGACAGGATCTGTGTTGGAATCCCCCCTGGAGAGGTAAGCTTATTTGTTAAATGCATTGTTAATTATTACTGCAGTATTTAGGAGTCAGCACAGGGTAGAATAAGATCAAAACCACATGAATGTTCAAACTACACCAAAGAAAAGTAGAAGGTGAAGCAGTTTCTGTGTGTCTCTGCCTTTGAAGAAGATACTTAACTCTCAGTGTCTGGGACCAGATGCCAAACTCTAGTATTCCAGGTTTGTCACAGATAAACTGTGGTGACAGTGTATCAAGGTGACACCGCAGTTTGTTCGTCTTCCCAGCCTAAAGGTTTATACTTAAAATAAAAGCACAGAATTTTATTTTTTTTTCCTGAAAATGGACTTGAGTCCCTCTAGCTGTCCTGAGGGTCAAGTTTGCTTCTACACATCTTTTCAGTGCTGAAAATGGTGCAGATGGATCCTGTTCTCAAATACACTGTGCTCATTTATATCCCCAGTGCTTTGGACTCCTGGGAGTAAATGGTGCTGGCAAGTCATCCACTTTTAAGATGTTAACTGGTGATACAGATGTGACGGGAGGAGAAGCTTTCCTCAAAGGAAACAGGTGAAAGACAATGCATTTTCTCTGCTTTCTCCTCCAGTTTTAACAGCTTTTTTTTCCCACATCAAAAGTCTCTTATACTTTTCCTGGTTACAAC